TTCTTAAGTGTAGTACTTTGTATTTATCCTTACTGCATTTCATTCCATTCATTTCAGATCATTTTTCCAGTTTGCCAGGATCATTTTGAATTCTAATATTGTCCTCCAAAGCGCTTGCAGCCCCTCCCAGTTTGGTGTTCTCTGCAAACTTTAAGTGTGCTCTCTATGCCATTATTGAAACTTGCGACCAGGGTCCCAGGAGTGCCACGCTGAGATTGCTCACTTAGGGCAAGCTGCAAAGAATGGGGGAGACGATCCCCAAAGCTGGTGGTTATTCTGATACTTAGATGTACCATGCCAGCAACAAAACAGCTTCCACAATACCTTACTAGATACCCAGAAGCAGAAAAGGCAGTTCCCTTAAAACACCCCAGCCTTGGGCTTCTTCCCAGACAGCCAAGTCAAATATGGTGGGGATTACTGAAAATCTTGTTCATCATATAAAAAAGTTCTACCAATCACAAAGAATTAGACACATTACCCACCAGGTTAATGAATATTTCAGATCTTACCCAAATACACACTGACAGCCAATTCTTAATAACTAAACTAAGATTTATTAAAAAAGGAGAGAGAGAGTGTATTGGTTAAAAGATCATTATACATACAGACTTGAATAAAATTCTTAGGTCAGTTTTATAGTAGAGACGGTGGGCTTCTGAGTTGCACGGAGTTCTTTCAGAATTAGTCCATAGGTTCAGTCCAATGTTCCATATCAGGGCGATCCAAAATGAAATTGGAGACCTCTGTTTTTCAGCTTACATTGAAGGGCCCCACTGGATAATACCCTTCCACATTGACTGCGAACCATTGACAACTACTCTCTGATTGTGGTTTTCCAACCAGTTGTGCACCCACTTTATTGTAGGTTCATCTAGGCTATATTTCCCTAGTTTGCTTATGATAAGATCATGTGCCAAAAGTCAAAATATATCCCATCTACTGCTACCCCCATCCACAAGACTTGTTAAACTGGCAACGAAGAATATTAGGTTGTCTTGACATTATTTATTCTTGAGAAATCCAAGTTGACAGTTGCTTCTCACCTTATTTACTTCAAGAATTTACAAATTGATTGTTTGATTATTTGGTCCAGTATCTTTCCTGTTACCAAAATTAAGCTGACTGCTGACTGCTCTATAATTCCTTGGACTGTCCTTATTCCCTTTTTATAGAGAGGTACTTTATTTGCCCTTTTCCAGTTCTCTGGGATATCTCCCATCCTTTGTGAGTCCTCAGAGATGATCACCAATGGCTCATGGTTCTGTTCAACCAGTTCCTTTAGTTTTCTTGGATGTCTTTCATCAGGCCCCGCTGCTTTTAAGACATCTTCAAAAATTATCACTTATGACTCAGAGATATCTTCCGCCAGGTCCTTAATGAGCTTACTTTGCAGTTTATGTTAGATATTAGGAAAAGCTTTCTAACTGTAAGGATAATTATGCTCGGGAATAGGCTTCCAAGGGATGTTGTGGATTCCTCATCATTGGAAGTTTTAAAAAAACAGGTTGGACAAACACCTGTGAGGGATGGTCTAGGTTTGCTTGATCCTGTCATAGCACAGAGGGCTGGACTTGATAACTTCTTGAGTTCTCTTCCAGCCCTTCTTTTCTGTCGTTCTATGCTTTCTTCCATGCTGTTCCTTGCTCTTTGGAGGAACTCCCCATAAACATCCCGAGACCTCCCAGGTTATCCTCCTTCCCATCCCTCCGTACAACTCCCCGGTTCCATGAAGCTTTCAAACTCATGATAGTGGTTAAGCGGGTTGTGTGCTCAGACCACTATCTATCAGGGTGACAAATGTTGTCTTATTGTTTCCTTGTGCTTCCCCTGTCACTATTCATGGCCATTGCACCTGTATTCCCCCTCTGCGGTCCAGCAAGGGCACCCACTCTTAGGCTGCCCAGACGTCACCTCTCGGGTAGAAACCCACATCTCTCTCTCTCTCCTGACTGGGGTATCTCCAGGCTGCACAGCTCCCTGCCTACCCTGTGAATTCACCAGCAAGGCAGATCCTCTCAGCAGTCTTGCTTTGCCTTCCTTCCTCAGAGGCTATGAACAGTGTAACAGCCTCCAGTTAAGCTACCAGACCGCCCTTTCCCTGCAAGCAATGATTCTCAGGGTAAAAGCATTACAGAAAGAACATATTAAAAACAATAAAGGAACTTATACGCACCCCAACCCCAACAAGGGCTCAGGCAGGTGAACAGACCTTCAAACCCCACCAAGAGTTTTTTCTGTGATTGTTAGCTCAGAACAAGCATGCCTATGCATCTGTAAGTCACCCTTTTATCTAGTTTGGGCCTCTGAACTTTACTCCTGGGGGAATTCTGCGCCATTGTATGTGCGCAGAATTCATGTGCCGTACAGAATTTTTTTTCTCTGTAGAACATACATTCAGCCAGAGATGTGATGCAGTTATACTGTTTGCCCACCAGGGGCTGCTGTGGTGCCAGTACAGAGAGCAGTCGCTCTTGGGCATGAGCGGCTCCAGCTGCAGATAGGGAAGAGGAGAGGCTAGGGTCCTCACAGTGCCATACCCATGGAGCCAGGTCAGAAGGCACAGGATATGGGGGGATGGACAGCACGGGGCACATGGGGCTGCTGGGAAATCACAGACTGGGGTTCAAGAGCTAGTGGGGTGACAGACTGGGGTAGGGGCTGAAAGGGAGTGGGGGTGCAGGGCCACATGGGGACATTTCTGTATTGTAGTTTAAATTAATTATTACTCAGAGTTCTGTATTAATATTTCTTGTAATTAATCTATTTGTCAAAAAACATTTCCTGAATCTTTTTTGTTGTCTGTATTGTTAAAATTTTAAAATATGTACAGAAATTTTAATTTTTTGTGCAGTTACACCCAGGAGTAGAACTTGTATTTATTTAACAGGTGATCAGCAGCCAACGGTTTCTTCTCAGAGTGCAGCTTCCATAGGTTTTGGGTGGAGGTGAGAAGTTGCCGTCCCCTTCTCCCAAGTATATGTCCTAGGAATCTCATTTACATTTGTCTAGCATGTTGTTTCAAAGAGTCTTTTGAAGCTCACAAGACTTCCTAGGGTTTATGTTAGCCAGGTCTCCTCCCTGGAGATGTTAAAGACCGTCCCACGGTAATACATACACATTCATATTTTTAATAAAATGAAATCCAAGGATACTGAGAATTTAATTCAGTAAGGTTTGACTTAATTCAATAAGGATGGTCCAGGATATCATAGGAAACTGTGTCACACCCGTGTCTGTCTGTATCCATCTTTCTCTTCTCTTATTCTTAGGTTGTCAGATCTTTAGTGCAGAGACCGATTTTTGTTTGTAGAATGTCCAGCAGAATGGGATCCTAGTCCATGAATAGCGTTACTAGGTGTTACGGTGACAGGAATAGTAAATGATGATGATAATGGGGAGGTTCTGGGCAATGGGAGGGAGGGTGTTAGAGAGCGGGGAGAGGAACGTTTGGGGCAAAGACCTCCTACAAGCTGGGAGGGTTGGGGGCAGTGGTAAGGGGTAGGGATGCCATGGAATAGCTGCTGTAGGGAGCTAGGATGCTGTGGAGGGCTGGACACAATGGAAACCAAGTATCTGGAAGGGTTGGTGCTGGTTAGAGTAAAGGTATCATGGGTGCTGGGTAGAGGGTGCTCCAGGAAATAAGGGTGCTTGCAATGGGAGGGAGTAAAGGGACACATTTCTGGCAGGAGCTGTTGGGAATCAGGACTAAGGAACAATTGAGATAATGGGATGAGGGTTGGGGAGCAGATAATTTGGGAGACCTGGTAGCAAGGAGGGGTGTGGGCCATGGGAGGAGAGGAGAGAACCCAAGGAGACATTTTTCCTTGGGTCCCTGGAGGTGTGGAAGGGTGAGAGCAGTTAGAGGAAGGACCATGAGGGGTTGTAGTGATTGACAGGGCTAGCTGCCTCTCTGTGCCCTTCCTCATCTCTCTGAGTGTCCCCCCTCAGCTGTCAGGTCTCAGGCCTTTCTCTCTCCTGCAGTGACTGTGGCCCTGTCTCTGTCAGTATGAAGCAGTTCAAGGGGGACTTCCCCTCTGGCTGGAGTCTTCCCTTTCTGCGACATGGAGTTACCTGCTCTGGGTTTTAAGAGCCCCTTTTGCTCATGAGTGTCTGGCTGTGTATTGATGTGGAAAAAGTGACCCATGCATCATTTTGATCAGAGACTCAAGCCTGAGGCCCGTTTATTGCAATACATACCAACGCATTTGGGGTAGCAGTTAGAAACCACTCCCCCGATCTGGAGTGCACTTTGCCTTTTTAAAGCCGAAAACTGCAAACATATTACAAGTTACACGTTATTTATGAGAATAGGAGAGTTAGGGTCTTGTTGCCCTTCTCGGCATCCCTTTTGCAATGTTCTCGGAATAGGGTGCTATTTGAGTGGAGGGCATTTTCGTGGTTTCTGATACTGGCATTGTTTTGCTTCATTTGGGGTGCCTATTATGCAAGTGTTCCAGTCAGGGTGCAGTTTACAGAAAGGGAATTTATGCATTCTGAGAAAGGGGGGTTTAGGGGCACTTAAACGAGAGGCATGATTAGTTGTTTTCTTAACTATAACCTTACTTATTCCTTCACACAAGTGGTTATTCTATTTCGCCAGCTGTAAACACACATGCTATTATTATTGCTGCTGGGACTTTTTATCCTTCCCTTTCCCCGGCCCCCCTCCCTCCTCTGGTCATAACCCTTGACTGTCACTGACAGGGAGCACAACACTTAACTTGGTTCAGGCTTGTGGCCTGCAGGGTGGGCGTATGTCGATCTAAGGCTTAAACTAATAGGGCAGGCTAGATTTTCCCCCACAGTATGTTTCTAGTAGACATGGGCACAGCTAAATACCTCATCAGAAGAGTGCCCTGAACCTTTGAGCCCCTAGGGAGCTGGCCCCAGGATTTTACTGCTTTAAAATGGACTGGGGCTAAAATAACAGAACTTTTTGTGTGTGAGACAAAAGTCCCATGAATTCACCTGATCTCACTTGTCTTCTTTCCCCTTAGCAGGGTTTCCAGTTTCTAAACTTGATGTCCTCTCCCAGCTGGAAAAAGGGGAAGAGTTCTTTTCCACAGATCTCCAGGACTCAGAGGAAAGAAAGCTCCCGAGAGGCAGCTATACAGGTGAGTGAGCATTAAACCAACTCAGTGCCTGAAGAAAAGAGCTGGGATTCCCAACAAAGACCTTGTGAGCTCTCTGTGTTCACGATTGTTCCCAGCAGGTGTCATATCCTCAGGGCAGATGTTGCTGACGGTGTCCTACCCACCCTGACTAACTCCTGGCAGTATCTCCTTCCCCAAACTTCCGTCTCCTAAAGTGTTTGGCTAGGAACTGAATGCAGAATTGATCCCCTCCTCTCTCCCCTTTAAGAAAGAGTTTGGGGCAATTCAATCCCTGATTTTTTCCATTTTGAGCTGTTCTTTTGGTTTTTCCATTCCTGTTTCTGAGATTTTTCTTTCTCTGTCTTGCAGGTGAGGGGATGGTGAGAGAGACCATGGAGCAGAATCCTCAGCAGGAAGACGATGAAGTGGAACCACAAGGGTCTTTATTGCAAAGACGCAAAGGGAGTGTGTCCAGGACTTGTGATCAGGGAAAAGCCTGTGAGAGTCAGCACAGGCCAGAGAAGCAGCAGGGAAACCAGCCAATGCAGAAAGTTGGTAAATCTGTTAATTATCAGGGAACTCACAAAGGCCACAAGGAAACCACGGCCCAGCAGAGAATCCCCATGGGAGAGAGAAATAACATATGTGTTGAAAGTGGGAAAAAGTTCAGTAGGCGCTCACACCTTGTTAAACATGAGAGAATCCATAAAGGGGAGAAACCCTATGAATGCTGTGAGTGTGGGAAAACCTTCACTGAATGCTCAAACCTTATTAAACATCAGAGGATCCACACAGGGGAGAAACCGTATGAATGCTGTGAGTGCAGGAAAATCTTCCTTCGGCACTCAGCCCTTATTAAACATCAGAGGATCCACTCAGGGGAGAAACCCTATGAATGTTGTGAGTGTGGGAAAACTTTCTCTCGGAGCTCAGCCTTTATTTACCATCAGAGAATCCATACAGGGGAGAAACCCTATGAATGCTTTGACTGTGGGAAAAGCTTCACTGCCAGGTCAAACCTTGTTACACATCAAAGGATCCACACAGGGGAGAAACCCTATGAATGCTGTGAGTGTGGGAAAACCTTCGCTCGGAGCTCAGCCTTTATTAACCATCAGAGGATCCATACAGGGGAGAAACCCTATGAATGCTGTGACTGTGGAAAGAAATTCACTGAGCGTTCAACCCTTATTACCCATCAGAGGATCCATACAGGGGAAAGGCCCTATGAATGCTGTGAGTGTGGGAAAACCTTCCCTCAGCGCTCAGCCCTTATTAGCCATCAGAGGATCCACACTGGGGACAAACCATATGAATGTTGTGAGTGCAGGAAAACCTTCCCTCAGAGCTCAGCCCTTATTAGACATCAGAGGATCCACACAGGTGAGCAACCCTATGAATGTAGTGAGTGTGGGAAAACCTTTGCTCGGCGCTCACACCTTATTAAACATCAGAGGATCCATGCAGGTGAGAGATCCTATGAATGCTCCAAGTGTGGGAAATTTTTCCATCAGAGCTCAGCCTTTGTTTATCATCAGAGAAGCTGCAAGGGAGATAAAAACCATAAAAACCTTGTCTAGAGCTAAGGAAAGATTTTGTTTTCCTTTTGCTAATTCCCACATAGTGAGCTTAAAAGAAGCTTTGTGTCCCCATGGGCTTTCAGTTCCCCCAGCTGAGTTATCAGCTTTTCCTTTTTGTAGCTCATCCTCTCTTGGGGGGAATCCCATTGTCTTTTTCAGCAACTCCTTTGTCCTCTGTCATGGATGTGTGTCCCTCCAACTGGAATTTCAGTCAATCCCAGGTGGGGGAAGCAGGAGAGACCTCAACTAGGTACATGGAGGTTAAACCTACATGGGCCTTGACTCCACTAGGATTTTCCATGGAGTTAGCTAGCTTCAATTAGCTATCCTAATGTAAAAATATATATGGTGTCCAGAATAATTTAGCAAATTTCCTCAACACCTGGCATAACCTTCATCGCTTTTCCTAATCTAAATATATTTGGAGTATCACATTTATACTTTTCCTCTCCCTGCAAAGCAATTGTTAGACACCAGGTTCCCCCACTAGGGACAGATTGTCTCATTCCCATTTGTTCTCACATTACACTGGGTTGTGTTGAAAGTTTTTCTACCATTTTTCCATATTGAATATATTTAAATATAACAGAAGGAGCAGGATGAATGATGGGGGAGGGTGTGTGTGGGGGGGAATTTCAACCTCTGTGACACCTAAAGAAGAAGTGGTGAGTTGGAGGGATTCCCACCTTCCAAATTACCCCAGTAATGTTTCCTCTGTTTGAGCCAGATAGAATTTATCTTCTCCACTTACTTACTACACCTCCACCTGTCATTGTGTCTTATGATTCAGTGTTCTCAGCCCTCTGCTTGGGAATCACATTTTATTTTCTTTGATCATAAAACAGTATTTTTGAAACTGAGATGACAGTGTCACAGACCTGCAAGGGGAATTTGAATGGATCTCAAACACAGCTTGGTCACTGGGAGTTCAAATCCCAGTTTGGGAAAGCTTCTTCTAGGATTTTTCCTACTGAGATGAGATTGTTTGCAGGTGAAGAGGTTGAGCTTGTTTTGTTTAGTTTTCCATTATGATGATGATAGAACTTTTGAAAATAATAAAACTAGGGCTGTAAAGCGATGAAAAAAATTAATCGCACAATTAAAAAAATTAATCATGATTAATTGCACAATTAGTCTCACTGTTAAAGAATAATAAAAATAAATTAATTGTGATTAATTGCACTGTTAAGCAATAGCATACCAATTGAAATGTATTAAATATTTTTGGATGTTTTTCTCCATTTTCAAATATACTGATTTCAGTTACCAGAATACAAAGTGTATAGTACTCACTTTATATTATTTTTATTACAAATACTTGCACAGTAAAATACAAAAGATAGTATTTTTCAATTCACCCAATACAAATAATGTAGTACAATCTCTTTATCATGAAAGTTGAACTTGCAAATGTAAAATTATATACAAAAAAATAATTGCACTCAAAAATAAAATATAAAACTTTAGAGCCAACAAGTCTACTCAGTCCTAGTTCTTGTTCAGTTTGTTTGTTTACATTTGCAGGAGGTAATGCTGCCTGCTTCTTGTTTACAATGTCATCTGAAAGTGACAACAGGTGTTTGCATGGCACTGTAGTAGCTGGCGTCGCAAGATATTTACGTGCTAGATGCACTAAAGATGCATATGTCCCTTCATGCTTCAACCATCCTTCCAGAGGTCATGCGTCCAGGCCAATAACGGGTTCTGCTTGATAACGATCCACTGCAGTGTGGATCAACACATATTCATTTTCATCATCAGAATCAGATGCCACCAGCAGAAAGTTGATTTTCTTTTTTGGTGGTTCAGTTCTGTAGTTTCTGCATTGAAGTGTTGCTCTTTTAAGACTTCTGAAAGCATGCTGCACACCTCATTCCTCTCAGATTTTGGAAGGCACTTCAGATTCGTAAAACTTCGGTCGAGTGCTGTAGCTATCTTTAGAAATCTCACCACTGGTACCTTCTTTGCGTTTTGTCAAATCTGAAGTGAAAGTGTTCTTAAAACGAACAACATGTGCTGGGTCATCATCCAAGATTGCTATAACATTATATATATGACAGAATGCAGGTAAAACAGAGCAGGAGACATACATTTCTCCCCCAAGGAGTTCAGTCACAAATTGAATTAATGCATTTTTTGAATGAGCGTCATCGGCATGGAAGCATCTCATCTGGAATGGTGGCCGAAGTATGAAGGGGCATACGCTAAACATTTGTATCTGGCACATAAATACCTTGCAATGCTGGCTACAAAAGTGCCATGCAAACACCTGTTCTCACTTTCAGGTGATGTAAATAAGAAGCAGGCAGCATTATGTCTTGTAAATGTAAAGAAACTTGTTTGTCTTGGTGATTGGCTGAACAAGAAGTAGGACTGAATGGATTTCTAGGCTCTAAAGTTTTACATTGTTTTGTTTGAGTGCAGTTATGTAACCAAAAAAATGTACATTTGAAAGTTGCACTTTCAAGATACAAGTACTGCAGTGCAATCTCGGAGATGAATTGAAAAATACAATTTCTTTATAATTTTTGCAGTGCAAATATTTAATAAAAATAATATAAAGTGAGCACTGTATACTTTATTTTATTTTTGCTTTTCCCCTGCCTCCTTCGATGAGGACATGGAGAAACTTCAATTTCAGTTCAGTCAACAGGAGATAATACCAAGCTATTGGACGTGTTACCAACTGTTTTTCTCCCATCTGAAATGATGAACAACAGCACACCCCAAATTGTGAAACTAACTGAAATAACTTAATACAATCACAGTGTTGTTCAATTATTTAAGGTCAATATTGTCTCAGATGATCTGGGCAGAGAATTCCACAATAAGTGACTAGGAACTGGGCAAAAGGCCCATGTATTTGTTTCCCAAGGCAGTTGTGACCCAGGACTCTTGTGACAGACTATACCCCTGTGTTCACACCCTACACATTAATGCAGTAATTTTTGTACAAGGCATGTCTTCTCGGATACCATTTAAAATTCATCATTTGTTAATCAACAATATCATGGCAAAATACACAGATCAGTGTTATATGTGAAGTAATAAAAACAAGCTGAAATCGTGCCTAATAGAATGCTACCCAGATAAATCTGGGGAGTGGTCAAAAACAGTTCCTCAGAGACAAAGGGCAGTTGATGCCTCAGCCAGGTGTAAAGAAGGCTGATGGACCATTACCTGCTAAGTGCCCATTCTTTGGCAGGAAAGGTGGCAGGGACCAAAAAAAGAAGGGGAAGATACCCCCCCCCCAAACACCCCTTGCTCCTCCTACCCATTGTATTCTCTGCATCTGAGATGACAAAATAGCATCACCATTGTGCTTTGATGGAGGGGTCCTGACCTAAAGAGTTTGGTCAGTAAGACTACTGACGCATCTGCTGAGAAAAATCTGCTTTGAAACAGATAATTTCTTAGCAATATGTTAGTAAGCATTTTCTTTATTTTTCTTGAAACCATTTATGACTTTTATGCCTCATTTCCTGTACTCATAAAAATCCCTCTTTGTGGTTATTAAACTTCTTTTCTGTTTTATATAAGCCAGTGTATTTAAACTGAAGTTTGAGTTGCTATTTGAAATAATAAACTGACATATTATTCTCTTCAAGGTTTATTGGTCTTCAAATATTGTGTGCTGTCCAGGAGAGGGCTGGGCAGTACAGGACATACATTTCTGGGGGAAATCTGGGACTGGGAGTGTGTTGGGGGGTCATCGTGCAGTATAACCAAGGCTGGGGAGAGGCAGAATGTAACCCCAGTGTGGCTGGCAGGCTGCAGTTGCACACAGACACTCAGGGTGAGTCTTTCATGCTGGAAGGCTATTTGTGAGTGGCCTAGGTGGGATCTATTTCATCAAGGCATTGTAAGGCACCCAGGGTTTGGGGGCAGGGGTGACACTGCTGCTCATTAGTCTGGATGGTATCCTGCTATGTCACAGCTTTACAGAAGTTTACGTTTGAAGTCATCTCCTACCTAATTCAATAATTTGGGGAAAGCTGTCCCTACTCATGGAGATGTGGAGAAAATAGAACTGTGTTTTTTTTGTTGAACTCACCCCTCAGTAGGAACTGCAAATGTGTGTAAAATACAATCAGTGTTGAAGATGAGAGATGCAGGAAAATAAGTAATGATTTTTGCTTAGAAACTCCACCTCAGATAGGATATCTCCATTAATTTAATTATCTGCTAGAACTGGAAGGGACCTTGAAAGGTCATTGAGTCCAGCCCCCTGCCTTCACTAGCAGGACCAAGTACTGATTTTGCCCCAGATTCCTAAAGTGGCCCCCTCAAGGATTGAACTCACAATCCTGGGTTTAGCAGGTCAATGCTCAAACCACTGAGCTATCCCTTCCCCCGTTAACAGAGATTGTGAGCCCGACTTGTGTCTAGTTCCTGACTGACACCTGTGCCACCAGTTTAGAGAAATGCTGTTATTTCTATTCCCTTAGCCCTAGAAGCCCCAGTCACCGACCAGACCCCTGTTGTGCTAGATGATGTACAAACACAGAAAAGGAAGACGGCCCTGGCCGTGAAGAGCAGACAGATGCAGGATGGGGAAGGGGTAGAACACCCCAGCAGAGTAAACAGTGTGAGGGCAGCCAATGGCATGTGAGTGCCACGGAGTGTTGTTGTTGTTGGGTTTAATCAGGAGGGGCCCAGGTGAAGGTAAGGGAGAAGGCCATTGATGGGGAAAAGAGAGGGGGATGGGTTGGTGAGAAGAGGGTAAAAAGAATGACGCTCAGGAGAAGAGATTGGGAGATAGAAGGGAAGATGGCTCAAACAGTCTGTCAGTACATGGCAGAGAAAGTCAAGTCAAACTGTAGAAAAGTCTCAATCTTGGGAGGACCAGAGGTCCCCTGCTTTGGGTGCTTCTGCTCCTCCTGGCTGCAGGGGCACCATTTAGGGGGAGCATGTAGGGGCTGTAGCCCTCCCTGAGTTTCATACCTGAGGTCAGCTCACAGCGCATGCCCTAGCCCCAGACGGAGCTCTTAACTGCAACACAGCTTGAGGGTGATATGTCATGAGTTCGGTGCTGCTCCCAGCTTTCACTTTTGGGGTGGGGAGTTTATTTATAAACATAAGAACGGCCATACTGGGTCAGACCAAAGGTCCATCTAGCCCAGTATCCTGTCTTCCGACAGTGGCCAATGCCAGGGGCCCCAAAGGGAATGAACAGAACAGATAATCATCAAATGATCCATCCCCTGTCGCCCACTCCCAGCTTCTGGCAAACAGAGGCTAGGGACACCATCCCCGTCCATCCTGGCTAATAGCCATTGATGGACCTATCCTCCATGAACTTATGGATTTACCCAGAGGCCCCCTTATATCCCAGTGGTGGGCATACCCTTTGAATGTGTCAGAATGGATTTTGTTGGGCCACTAGAGAAGAGCAAAATGAGAGCAGTTACAGCACCTCCTGCAGGACTTCCCGGATGTCTTGTCAACCCACTCTGGATGGACCGTCATAAACCATCACATCACAACACCCCTGGGACAGAGAGGGACGGATGACGATTGGCCTCTTCCCCGGAAAATGTGGATTGCCGTCTGCCAGGAACTGGAGGAGATGCTCAAGATAGGAGTGGTTGAACAATCATGAAGCGAATGGTGGAGCCCAATCGTCTTGGTCCCAAAACCAGATAGGAACATCTGATTTTTGCATCAGTTTCCAAAAGGTCAATGCTATCTTCTGGTTTGATGCACACCTGATGCCACACATCGAAGAACTCCTAGAGCAGGTAGGGAGAGCCAAATATCTGTCGATCCTGGACTTAACAAAAGGGTATTGGCAGATAACCCTGACGCCAAACTCCCGGGCGAATACTGACCTTCCCACACCATATGACCTCTTCCAGTTCATCACAATGCCATTTGGGCTACAATCGCACCCCACCCCACCTGACCTGACTAAGAGCTCCCAGCCCCAGCAAGTGCATTGGTTGACCATACTGAAGAGGCCTTTCAGACTCTGACTCCCATGCTAGCTGTTTCTTTAGTCCTCATACTTCTAGCTCCAAACCAATGCCTCAGAAGGGGGACTGGGGGCCATCCTGTCTCCGGAAGTAGATGGGGAAGAACACCCCATTTTGTATCTGAGCCATAAGTTGTTTCCCAGAGAAACCCATTAT